ATCGTCATCAATAAGCACATATTCCGCCTAGTTGCCGGTTAGGTACAGTAAAGAAACTGTAATCGGCTCCTTCAAACCAGGCTGGTCGCTGCATTCTTCCGTGTCTCTCGATTATACCATCATAAGCATAGAACGGCTTGCTGTGGCAGTGGCTCTTGTCGCAGTCTGAAACAACAGCATAGCATCATGCGGCCTAGCTCGTGTGGAACCCTACACCTCATGTCATCTTTCAGGGGCAGATTCAGTTGCGTTGTTGTCGCTCTGGTTTGTCGAGCAGTATGGATCATTCAAACGAGGGCCAGACGCCTTGCTGTCATGCCTATTGCGCGGCTTTCACCCCGCTGATTCCTCTGCACGGGGAGTTTTCCCGATGCAAACCTCTTCCGGCGGAAGAGGGTGGGGAGAGAGGTGGGGGGGGAGGAGGGGGGGAGGGGGGGGAGAGAGGGCTAAAGTATTCCCCCCACTTGTGGAGAGCATATTCCCTACAATCACCTCGCTTACTTTCGACGAATAGAGCTGATCACAGTGTGGTCGGTGGGGTCTATTACCTGAGGCGTATCGCAGTTCGCGTCTGAACCATGAAGACTCAGAATCTTTTATCCTTGCAACTTCGCTGACCAACTCGTATTCCATGGCTCCCAATGCTTACTATCGTCCTAGTGCTCCACTAGCAACGGCAGAGCTGCTAGTAATGCTACTCGCGCCCCTCTTTCTGTTCATTACAATCACCAGCGCGTCATCCCCATCATTCTCCCTCTATTCCTCCCTTGAATCCCTTATAACGAGTCGTCTTGTAGACCGTACGACCACTACTACATCCCTTCACTCAGGGGGTCACCCCCGGGGTGTAGCTAGCAGGCGCCACCTAGCTGGCAATAAGGAATTGGTCAAAACAATCGAGCCGCAGCTGGTTCAGTAGTCGCCTCTCCCCCTCGGTGTTTGCAACGCCGTGGGTCGCGCTGCGCTATACGTCGACGATGGCATGATGGCCGTCGGCGGCGGCGCCGAAAACGCTGCTGAAAATGTCGCCATTGACCCTGCCGCAGGTGATGGGATCTTGCTCTCAGGCGCCTCGGTGGACGGTGACTCACCTCTGAAGGGAAGCAGCATCCCTCCGCTTGATGCGGAATTGGTAACCGACGTTTGGCCTGCCGCGAAGCAGCAGGCGTTACAATGGCAGCAGGCGTCACATCGCATCGGCAATCCCGAGGAGCGCACGAGCTGCTATATGGATCACGGCTTGTGGCAGGTGGGTGGCACGTGGCCACTGTACAACGCCACGTGTCCGTTCATCTACCCGAATCAGAACTGTGTCAAGAACGGCCGGCCGGACTGCTTTTTCGAACAGCTCCGATGGACAGCGCCGGGCTGCCCGCTTCCCACGCTGAATAAAGACAAACTCTGCAGCCTCGTCGCGGGGAAAAACATCGCCTTTGTCGGCAACTCAATGACTTGCAACACGTTTGAGATGCTGGCGTGCCTCATGTACGACTTCTACGGAATGCCAGAGAAACTGGGTGGCTTCAGCATGGCGAATGGATTCGAGCAAGGGGCCATGTGGCCGGCGTGTAATTTCACCCTGGTGCTCTACCGGATCAACTTCCTGGTGGATATGACACTGGACGACCCCCACAAGCCCAATGGCGGCGGCGTGACAAACTTGAGCAAGCCAGAATTGATCTGGCGGCGGCGACTGCAGCAACATGAGATATTCGTTATCAACACAGGTGAGACACTTCCCTTGTAGACATGACTTCTTGCCATGTAACACAGGTGAGACAATTCCCATGTAGACGTGATACTTCGCCACTGCAGACGCCGTTACAGGCACCTGTGGTTGTGATTTTGTGATTTTGATCGTTGAGCTGAACGTTAATCTGAGAAATGTTCCCATGTGTTGCATTTGCTTCCACGTGCCTGCAGGTTGTTGGTGGAACGAAAATAAGCTCCAAGGCTTGGGCTTCCATTTCGCTTCACCAAACCAGGGGCTATCTGTAATTGAGGGGTTTGATAAGGCGTGGGAGATGACCCTCAGCGTATTTAAGAGAGAAAGAATGGGGGGCAAGGTGCTAGTTGTGTCTACCAATGCAGCGGTTCACTTCACTTGGGAGGGTTTCACAGGGGAATGCCCCGATACTGTTCCAATGAGCGCCACTGGATTCCTGAATTATAAGGGTAAAGGAAACTGCCTGAAGATGGGTAGTCTGAATGGGGTGATGAGGAGGCTTGTAGTGAGGATGCACGAGTGGGAGAGGGCTGAAGGGAGAGTGGGAGGGGCGCATGTGATGCTGCTGGATCATGGTTAGAAGCGATGGGCATCCGGGCAAGTCGGCGCTGCTGCCCACTGGGAAGCAAGAGTGCGGACACTATTGTCTGCTCAGAGTGCCCGATTCGTGGAATGAGATGATGCTTCAGCGGCTGTGGTTACTGAGGGAGGGACAGCGGGAGTAGGGAAGGGTGTTAGCTGGAATAGGGTCAATGGTGGATCAACGAAAATTTGGTTTATCCATCATACATAAGGGGATGTAATGAAATGGAGGGAGTCACCTAAGCATGACTTGTCAAGATACATGCTGGGGTTGCCGTTGGTCCTTGGGATAGGGTCACAGGTGCAGAGCCTGGGGGGTTATGGGCGCACTTACCCGCTATTTAACAAGCCCTTTTAACTCAGTGGTTATTCTCAGAGTAACGAATTAGGTAGAGTGAGAGGATACAAGGGGATATAACCTAAAGTGTTGTATTCTCTATAAGCATGCACCTATCTAGCCTAGAACATATACAATTATATGTTGACACACCCCATAGGCTAGACAAGGGGCAATGACTAGCACAAGACACGTAGCTCAGGGTGGCACTACTAGTCCAACCTCTGAGACAAGGGTCTGAAGACCAGTCAGCAAGAGTACAAAGGAAAAAAGAGTAACCTAGGGTGGCACTACTAGTCCAGCGGGGGGGGGGGGGGGGTGGGTTTGAAAAGGGATGGATGGGGTCAGAGTGGATGAGAGGGGCGGTGGTGTAAGGGTTGAGGGGATGATATGTGGTCTAAGGCGTGGAGCATGGGTGCATGCATGCTGGTCTACTTAAAAGAGAGACGATCCCCCAATCTTGGAGAACAAAGAGTAGGAAGCGGGAGAGGGGGGTAATGGAGATGGGGGAATGGACTCTCGGGTGGAGAGGGGGGAAGGAGAAGGGGGAAGGAGAAGGGGGAATGGAGATGGGGGAATGGATAGGGGGGGATGGAGTGGGGGGAAATTAGGAGGGGAGATGGGAATTGAGTGCAACGGCGGCGAGTCCAGGTTCCCGGGGAGTTCGAGGGCTGTGAGCACTAGGGCCGTGAGTGCGCAGTTGGAAGTGCAAGGACGGTACTGCCCGCCCACCTCCAGCCCACATCAAACTCCCTGCTCACCCTCTGGCCATCAGCTAAACCACATGCTCATTGCCCCATGCTCCCCTGGGCAATGCTGTCCTACCTCTCTCCTTCCATCCTGTACCGCCTCTCTCCCTCCCTGCTGTATCACCTCCTGGGGGGGGGGGACAGGAAGCAGGAGCAGAGGAAAGGTGAGGGACAGGGAGGAGGGCAGAGATCCAGAGCATAGGAATACGTGAGGGACAGGGGGGAGGACAGGAGGGGGGGA